ATCCCGGTATGGACAGCCACCAAGCGGGTCATTCTAGGCCAATAAATACCCTCAAAATACTCTATTAGACTCCCCAAAGCATCACCCGAATCAGCCACCATGAGGACCAAACTAGGCGCGCACTATAATCCACAATTGAACCCGAACTTAACCGAACTCGGGCCAATTCAATCCAATACTTCCAGCCATCGCATAGCACATTACGGGCCACTAATCCTCAATTAAATTGTCACACTAAGCCCGTAAAATAGCCACAAAATCAGCCACCATACGGTCCACAAATTTCATCCGCCAAGTCCACAATTTCGCCCAAATCAAGGCATCTATGCTTCGCCACATCACAGCACTCTATAGACCACTAAACCTCAATTAAATCATCACTCTCGGTCACCAAATGTGCCACCAATTTCACCCCCCTAGTAACCTCCACTCGGTCCTCAATTTGCACCCGCCAAATTCACATTCAAGGACCGAACCTACCCCGAACTTGGGCCATTCCGATCCAATTCTGTCTAGCCAATGCACAGCACCTCTCGGGCCACTAAACCTCCATTGATTTATCGCATTAAGCCCGTAGAACAACCACCAAAAACAGCCATCACTCGGTCTATAAATTTCATTTCCCCCAAATCCACCATTTTGTCCAAATCCCGACACCTACGCTTCGCCACATCACAGCACCATACCAGCCACTAAACCTCGACCAAATAATCATCCTTGGTCACCAAAACACCACAAAATCAGCCCTTAACAGCAGCCACCATTTAGCCCCTAATTACCCTAATTAACCCCTAAAACCCGTCTAGAAATGCAAATTGTCCTAATTAGGGCTTAGGGTCAAACTCACCGGATGTCCTAAGCTTGAAACGGGCCGAACACGCGACGAAAAGGGGCTGGGCAGCGGCGGTCCCTCGCCGGAACAGTAACGGCGGCGGCGGCTCCGGCGAACGGCGCGAGCGGCGGCGACGGTCTAAGCTAATCCACGGCCTAGAGAGGGAGAGAGGGGCACGGTCAGAGATAGAGAGAGAAATGGAACGGCTGGACGGCTGGGCGAGGCGACGGATCCGTGCCGGAATAGTGACGGCGGCGGCGGAGCTCCTCCAGCTCAAGGCCTCTTCACGGCCATACGAGAGAGAGAGAGAGAGAGAGAGAGAGAGAGAGAGAGAGAGAGAGAGAGAGAAATGGAGAAAAGGGGCTTGCCGGCTGCTTGGGGTGGGACACGGCGGCGACCGGCAGCACCGGAGGCGGCGACGGCGACGCGGGGCCAGCCGGCGAGCTGCGGGCGCGTCGCGAGCTCGCTGGCCGGGGCAACGGCCACAACGGCTCGGCTGGGCTGAGCGTCAGCGACCCGCGGCAGCGGCGGCGAGCTGGCCGGCGACGGCGTGGCACGCGGCGTCGGGCGGAGGCATGAGGCGTTCGAGCGGTGGTCGGTGGTGAGCGGCGCAGGCGAAGCGGTCGAGGTCGGGGGAGAGAGGAAGAAGAAGAAGAAGAAGAAAGAGAAGAAGAGAGAGAGAGAGAGAGAGTGTCGAGGGGGGGTTGCGTGCGGTCGAAGGAAAAGAAGAGAAAGGAGAGAGAGGGAACGTGCGCGGTCAGAAGGAGGGAAACGTGCGCGCGGAGGAGAGAGGAGAAAGAAATAAGAGAAAATAAACTTCATTCAAATATTAAATGCGATCTGATGGCCCGAATTCAAAACCAAAAACGATCTACCAGTCCAAAATAAGCCTCGCACATAAAAAGGGACAAAGGCCAAATTAATTGAACCAAACTATAACGAGGGAGGTCTATTAGTCCAAATTCGCACGTGGTCAAAAACTCCCCTTTTTCCATCATTCCTGACAATCTCAACGTTGGCCACAACAATATCGACACCGTCCAATTTATTTCGTCCCGAAACTTCTGAAAATCGACTGCCAAGTTCGGGGTCTAAATAACGGTCAAATTCGATCGAGTGCGATTCTAGCGAAATCTCTAATTTAAAAATAATAACCGAGAGTGATCAGTTCTCGGGCGAGATTTTACTATAAGCACACTGACAAATTACACGTTTTATAAATCCCAAAAATGGGCCGAAATTCGGAATGTCACAGATTTGCCCAGGGCGGGCCTTTAACGCATTGAACTACCTTGGAATGAACGTGCGAATGAATGTGGGATTCGTTGAACCAAAGTGGAAATATATTGAATGTGCCAAGGATGCGTTGAATTCGTTGATTTGGTGAATGATTGTGTTCGGCATGTTGGCTTAGGTATTATCGGTGTAGTCTGGACTGGATTAGGTAGTACCAGTGTGTAATTCGGACTGGATTGAGGATCGATCGTTGGAAATTAAGTCTAAGGAATTTAGTGGGATTTATTAGAAATAATTATTGGACTAGCACAAATTAATCGGGGATTATGTGATTGGACTGCTGGGTATGCCCGGGTTGATTGACTGGTTGATTTCTGTACCCAATTGTTGGGAAATTGAGTAATGCCATGTCGCGTGACTGCGTGGCCGACTTGTGCGGAGTGTGATTGGCCATATGATGGCTTGATTGGATTATTGAATTGCACATTGTGGAATTGAGCCGCATGGTATTAATTGGCCAGTGAACGATTGTTGCGGCATGAAATTAACTGAATGCTTGAATTGTGCTGATGCTCATGTTGCATTGTTTTGCATTTCATGGCACGCATAGTGAATGCCGGGAACGAGGCGTGTGATGAATTGTGCGAGAATGCGTGCCTGCCATGAGCATGTGATCACCTAAAATACCCTGAAGCGTTATACGCTGGGTTCAGATAATAATGAGTTGTGTGATCACCTACGGACCTTCGGGTCGATACCGTCCTCATGCACTTTGAAGCAGGACGATGCCCGGTACGTCCGGAAGGCGACCATCCTCATGCACTTTGAAGCAGGCTCTGGTTCGCAAGGAGATCAGTGTTGCGCCTCATGCACTTTGAAGCAGGCTAGAGACACTGGGCCAGATCGGTTGCCGCGCCTCATGCACTTTGAAGCAGGCTAGACGCACCGGGTCGTGAAAAAAATTGATGACTCGAGTCGTAATAATAATTAATTTGGGCAAGTGTGCCAGTGTGGGCCAGTGGGCCAAAGAAATGTGCATGACATGTCAATGACATTTGCATGCATAAACATGCATTGATTGGCATGCGAGTGTGTGAGATCGGTGTGTGACCATGGGATTGGCGTACGTGTGATAATGTGTACCACGTATGTCCCGTGATTATTACATATTGAACTGTCTAACCTGCAGGGTCAGCCAGGTAAGAGATCTGGGTCAGAGGGCCTAGGTCGGAGTTTATTTATAAATTGGTTGGTTATGTTGTTTTGTCTGTCGGTCAGGAGATTGCATGTTAGCCTAGCCTAGGTTTAGGGGGTCATACTCGCTGAGATTCGTCTCACGGTTGTGTAAACCGAAACATTTTCAGACCCCCAGCCGTAGGATGCCGAGGACACCACCACTTTTTGGGATGCTGCATTTCATCCAGCGGTCGTTGAGCGTGCACCCCTGTGGAGACGGAGCAGATCGGAGAAGTGGCTGTTTGGTTATTCCTAGGAGTTGGTGTTTTATTTGAGTTGTTGGGAGCACTGTAAAAAGAGTTTTAAAATAGTGATATAAGTATGTACATATTTTCTGCGTTGATCGTTATTTATTGGATGGCTATCCTTGGCTCATATTGTAATTGTCTAGGTTTGTTTATTTTATACTTCCGCTTGTGCTTGATCTCTGTATGGGCGTGGGTCGGCGACGCTTCCTGGGACGTCACAATTTATCGACCGAAGGTGGGATGCTCACGCTTCGTGGGGTACGGGGCGTGACAACTTAATTGAAAAAAAGTCGTCGATCACTCTAATTGAGGTTTTTCTAAAAAGAGTTGATAAATTTAAAAAGTTGTAAATAAGGCAAATAAAAGTCGTAACTCAATTGAAAAGTAGGTAAATCTTAGGAAAAACAAATGAATGTTGGTAAGCAACTTGAAAGAAGAGATGATACCGCAAAAGTACTTGGACTTATTGGGGAAAAAGTTGATAGGTCGTACAAATAAATAATGGTAATTTCATATAAAAGCTGGTGAATTTAAACAACGGAAAAAAGGTAAATAAAAGTTGTTAAATGGCAAGAGATTTTTTTTTGTCAAAGATTAGAGAAGTAGTTATTTTACAAAAAAATATATAATAAAATTGATATTAACTCAAATATAGTTAGTAACACAAAATTAGTTGGTAACTTAATCGAAGAAAGTTAATAATCACTCTTATTAAAGTTGATAATTTATTCCAACCAAAAAAGTTGATAATATATAAAATAGTTGCCCAATTTTTTTTTTTGGTCAGAAGTTGCTCAATTAACATGTTGGTAAGTAAGACAAACAATTGGTAATTACTCTAATTAATGTTGGAATTTCTTGGTAATTACTCTAACTAGTAGGCAAATGAGAAAAACAAGTTGGTAAGTCACACAAATAAAGGTTGCTAAATTCATATGAAACTTCATATATTTATGACGTTTGTAAAAAAATACAAATAAACTTTAGTAACCAAAAGTTGCTAAATTTAAAAAAGATCTAATATATGTTGGTAAGATGAGAACGAAATGCATTATTTCAAGGTCGTTTGGGTTAAAGACTATAACATGGCCAAAGTTGCACAAGCTGCAAAACACACATGAAACTTCTAAAGCAAAATTAAGAGAGTAAGATGGGCCATCTTTAAAGTGTTACACTAATGAAAAAACATAGGATAATTCATAACAGTTGGCGGATCCAATGGACGTATATATAATAGATGAGATTCTGAAAATTTCTGCACATCTATGTAATATAAAAGGGTGCCATTGAAACTGCAAGTCATCAATTGAAGCTTCGTCTGACCAGGCTCCAGTGCCTATATTGGGAAGGTGTGAGGTTGCTCTATGATATAACGTTAGGGCTGAAGCTCAACCCCAAGCAGACTCTTCCTTCATCGAAATTTTCTAGTATTGTTTGACATGAAAGCCATGAAGATACTAGTCTTCTTCTTGCTCTGCTGCCTCTTTTCAAAGTTCGTTTGGTCGAGCCCCAGGCGCTACACTGCAATCTTCAACTTTGGCAACTCTCTTAGTGACACCGGAAACTTCCTCCTTTCCGGGGCACTCGCGTATCCAGAAATAAAAAATCTCCCTTACGGCGAGACATTCTTCCACCACACGACTGGTCGATTTTCTAACGGACGCCTCATTATCGATTTCATAGGTATTGTATACTCTCTTTCAGATATCTTCTCTACATTTTTCGATCACTTGTACAAAGTCGTTTACCATAATTGCGTTTTGGACCCTTCTAAATAGATTAAAGTTTCACCAAAAAACAATTTGACTATCCCATATGAAAACAGTTTCATCATTTTCCCATGGGGCAAAACCTATTGAATTGCTATCTCAGGAGCTTTAAAAATTGAAACAGCCTATGTGAAGAAAAGTAAATAATACAAGTCGGCCATATGTTTCGATCAGTGTGGGTTAGACTGAATAATGCCCACGCGTCCAAAGATCATCTGACTTATGTAATCTAGACAACTTTGTATGTCCCGTATTATGCTTATTTAATATGCGATTAGGTTTTCTAGCAGGAATTTTCATTTTTAATGCTACTGATAGAGTATTCTTAATCTCACGACGAACGTAAAAATATGAGAACGCAGCCGAAGCATTTGGACTGCCATATCTTCCACCATATCTGGCAGTAGCCAAAGGTCCACCTGTCCGTACGGGAGTGAACTTCGCAGTTGCTGGTGCCACAGCACTCGACTCGTCTTTCTTCTATGCTCAGAATATTGGGTTGTGGACAAATGACTCGTTGAGTGTTCAGCTTGGCTGGTTCCAGAATTTTATGAAGTTTCTCTGCACCACAAGACAAGGTAAATTTCTACCTTTTATTGTCAAAAAAGAATGTAAAAGCATTATTGATTCCTTAATATATATTATCGATTTTGATTTTCTTTTCATGTTTTTTCATTATTTTATTCCACATCACCACTTTAGGTCCCGGTGATGCCGGGTGGCGGTCCGCTTCGGCAAATCTACACATGTTTTGATATCACGAACCAACCCGAACAAAAAAGACTACATTTAAAGGACATAATCCGATAAAAAAGAAGAAGATACAGTCGAAGGTCCCGATAGAGTATTTTGCAAAAGGTCACTAACAAGTGGTGCCATTATCCAAAACAATATAAATCGATGCGTGCAATAAGTATCTTTTGACCCATATCAGGGAAATAGCCATGAGATGAAAGTCAATGACGGACCAAAGGAGGAGATGGCAACGGCTGTCACCTCCTCCTGGTACTTGCTGCTATTAGTATAACTTTTATGAAATATGTGCTATAATTTATCAAATTTAACATAAAAAAATTCTTTATGGTGGGGGAAGATTGGCGGCATTCACTTTTATAAATTATATGCTTAGGATAACCTTCACGCAACATGTGTTATAACTTCTTTTTTTTTTTTTTTTGGGGTGCAGAATGTGATGACTACTTCAAGAAGTCTCTGTTTCTGGCGGGGGAGATGGGTGGCAATGACTACCTCTTTCCCTTATTTTCTGGTCAAACCATGAAACAGCTACGTGCTATGGTACCACAAGTCGTTGGAGCAGTTGCCCGTGCCATCCGTGTATGTTACACACAAACTTACTTCAGTAAGAAGGATAAAGAAATGCCTCCATCACTACACTGTTTGGAGAAACTTCTTATTTCCATAGTTGTACTGAATGGAAACCCTAAAACTAATAACCAAAGACAAAGTTGAAATGTCACAAAGAAGCATTGACAATAACTTAAATAGTGACTAATAAATTCGAGCTTTTGTGCCTTCCTTAAAAAAATCCACCTTTTAATAGTATACATGGATTGTGTAAAAAAAAAAAGACTATCAGAGACGTATGATGATCTCCATGGTGCACGAAGCAGTTCCCAAAAGTGATTCATGTACACTTACAAAATGATCCACGTGATTTGTCTTGAGATTGCTTGCTTATTATTATTATTATTATTATTATTATTATGATTTCTCACTATTATCAAGTTTCCGTTATTTTTCTTATTTTTCTTGAATCATCATAACCATGACAGATACTTATAGAAGAAGGAGCAGTGGATCTATTGGTGCCAGGACAGTTTCCAATAGGCTGTTCCCCCACAATTCTAACTTTGTATCATAGTCCTAACAAATCGGCATATGACCCAAGAACCGGGTGTCTCAAGGCTTATGATGCTCTCTTCGAGTACCACGATAACTACCTCAAGCAAGAATTGCAAAAATTGAGAGAAGAATACCCTCTTGCAAGAATTATGTATGCTGATTATTATGGTGCCTCCATACCTATATATCGCAATCCAAAACACTACGGTGACCCTTCTTTTCACCTATCTTTTTTCCCTCTCGAATTTCATTGACAATGAATATTTTTTGCTTGAACTAATACTCTTGTAACAAATTGTAGATGTATGACTTCACATGTTCCATCCATCACCATTCGTATAAGTAATTATAGATTTATTTTTAAATTACAATCAAGATACATATTTATAAAGATGACTTTGTATTAAATAAAAAAAGAACATACACGGTCTGTACATCAAATGAAAGCCAACTTGTTTTTTTTTTCCCCACAATTTTCCCCTTTACCTCTAGAGTCAAGATTGTTCTTAATCACAGAGGGCAATTAACGATGGAACGACGCCAAATCTTAAAGCATTATTTGGTGATGGAATGTGGCTCCAAGTGAATTGAAATACACCAGATAACATAAGTAACATTAGCACATTTTGGTTTGATGTCATTGACAAGAACACATATAGTTACCTAATCTGTTCAAATTTATGGGTGCATTCACGCAGGTTTTTATGGAGGGGCACTAAAGGCTTGTTGTGGAGAAAGTGGTCCATACCACTATAATGCTTCAGTAAGTTGTGGTGAACCCGGCTCAACTGTTTGCAAAGATCCATCGGCTTTCGTCAATTGGGACGGGATTCACTTGACCGAGTCTACTTATCATCACGTCGCCAAAGGGTTGATTTATGGTGGCTTCACATCTCCACCACTCCTATCTTAATTTAATTATTGATACTATGCGTAAGATGCATTCAGACAGTTGCATCTATCGAATGTCACTTGCAACTTTCTGAAGTAACAAAGTTTGATATGTTACATCAATAAATATATCAGACATATGTATCATTTATAAATTGATCTTCCTAATGTACAATGTCTAGATCAAATTTACTATGCACAATGTCTTCTCATTTTATCGTATCGGACATAATAAAAGGTAATTGTGGCTAGTTTTTTCATTGAAAGTGTCAGGCATTTCTCAAAACTTAGAATACCAATATTTACTCATGTACATCTTCATCTTTCATGAACTTGGACAACGATCACTAATATAAGAATAAGATCAGGCCAATACTATTAAGAACGTGTTTATCATTTAGGTCATGTCTCATTGGTGAAAAGGTAAACCCAACTCAATTAAAGCTCAAAACCGTAATTTCAGGCTTGAAATTTTTGGCCAAGCCTTCCTCCATAGGCTAACCGAATTTGTTTCCAGTGCAGGCCTATTCCACGTAACTGATTCAGGTCCATCACCACCTCCAGTCCAATGCAATTAATGGACTAAACTATATGATGAATGCTCCTAAAAGCTTTATGTTTTGTAATTTAATTATATCATTTTGGTTTTGGGGCTAAAGATTAGTCCCTAATTTTCCATGTAATAAATCTCTCAATGATTTAGTCAAAATTTAGGTGTCAAGAAATGTTAAATGAGACATGTTAGGATGATGAAAGGCAAGCCTTATCATACACATAATCCCCTATTTATACATTATGAGATGAGTGGAAATATTCCATGTTCTCAAGTTAAAGATTTGCTCACAAAAACTATGTGGATTGAAATGATGAGACGCGTTTCACTTCTCTATCCTAAACAGTGCATGTAATCTATTGTTTGACCCCTTTGTGCTTCAATAATTTGGAGAATTTCTTTTGATTTAACCTAGTCAAGAAACACCCAACACCGGGGCAGAATAGAAGTACAGTTAACATTACAAGGTAAGAAAAATGGATAAAACTTTCGTGGCCTCACTTACGTCAATCTTTGAGCGTCTTTATTGCATATGAACTCAAACGAGAATTCAAGTTCCTTAAAGTGATGAAGAACGTTTTTTTCTCTATTCTATACACTTTTTATACCCTGCATATCCCAATTGAGCCTGCATATTCATTTATGAAAACCCAATTGGTGATTATCCCTACACTGGGGCAAGGCAGATGAGTTAATACATTGAGACAGCATGGTCCAGAGCTTCCACTGAAGATGAAGCCTCGAGAGTCCAAAGTGCTAAATTATTCAAGAACAAATGGAGTCGCAGAAGTCAGACTTTGGAGGGTCCATGAATGAACTACAAAGCAATGTGTTGCAAAAGAAATCGAGAAAAAGATAAATTCGCAAAAAAAAAATCAGGGAAAGGCCCAATTGTCGAAAAAGAGTGAAATGATGTGGCCGAAGGCCAAGTCTACAAAAATTATCCCCAACAGAGAAGCAATGATCTCCCAAGTTGCAAAGAGCAAGTGTTGGACTCTCGTGGTCAATGAAGTATTTGCACGAGAAGACAATTGCTGGTGAAGGAGAAGATTTATAACAACGCTGAGATAGTCACAAACTACGAGCCCCTTCAATGAAAATTCTTTGAGCCTAATGGATCCTTTCGCTTCTCAACCCCTTAACCGAGCCTATGTTCGCTCTTTATAGAGTCTCTTCAGATTAGAGCACTTGAATAAACGTATGAGCTTCAAATGTTAAAAGTTTCGCCCAAAGAAGTGCGGCCAAGATTGTTTCCATCTCATTTTACAAGGTTCTTAACTTGTAAACCCGACGGAGATGATGGATAATAAATATTTCTTTCACAGCTATGAATTAAATTATCCCTTTGATGAGCCGTTGACCAAACGAATGTTACGGTCCTGATAAAGATCTTTCAGATTTGTAAGGTCGTACCACTTATAAGAAAATTCAGACCCTTGTCGATATGATGATAACGGTAAGATTGAGTGTTTCTACCTTTCTCGTATAAATGGACGGGACAAAATAGCCTTCTACATGAGATTGAGTGAAAAGCCCTTTCAAACTGAAAATCTCTCATTTAGCATTTTCAAAAAAACCAACTTATTAATGAAAATTGTCTTGATGATGATTCTCCCAAGTGGAAATTTGGTAGCATGGTAAAACCATTATGCATGTACCTCAATTGAGTTAAAAAAAATGAATCCTGAAATATGCGTTTTGGAATAGCCTTAATTGTTTATCTCTTTGAGGTATACATATATTTACTTTAATCGTGTCTGACAGGTAATGTTCCTCAAAGACCAAAGAGTTCTTGACGTTCGAGTTGCTTTTTCAAACCTCAAGATTCGTCCAAATATTCTTGAATTTTCTTTCTACCAAAAATCAACTTGGCGAGCTTCTGCAGCATAAAGTCACCTCATTGACCTAGCGAGCTTTCGCAACCCATAATCTTCCTTTTTGCACGGCGAGCTTACACAGCCCGGAGCACCCCATTGATTTGGCGAGCTTCCGCCACCCAACGTCTCCTCATCAACCTAGTGAGCCTTCGCAGTCCAGAGTCTTTTTTTCTTTTTTTTGCACGGCAAGCTTACGTAGCTCGGAGTACCTCATCGACCTAGGGAGCTTTCGTAGCCTAGAGTCTCCTCATCAATGATGCGTGTGCGAGATGGGCGAATGTCATTTTGAATGATATCGATGGAATCAGAGTGTATGGGAATGAATGTCGATGGATGAAAGGACAGAAATAGGATAAAATACGACCAAAACTAAGGTATACAGGACATGCCACTAACCAAGAATCACGGTTGGGATTGATGAAGTTCACCACCAAAGCCTATAGAATGTCACCAACCGAGGAAATAGGACTTCGGGATAAGAGAAGCACACCACCAATGCCTACAAAATATCACCAGCCGAGGTGTCGCGACCTCACCGGCCGTGGGTGTGTGGACCACCTATGGGTTCGATTAATGGATTATTAAGTCTAAACCTAATTCGGGCCCTTCCAAGCCCTACCAATTCGTGACTTATGGTTTAAGTTGTTAACATGTAAATGATTTTCATTTTGGAGTTGCCACTAATCTATTTATGGTGGGTCGATTAGAAATCCAAATAAAACATAGGAAAAAATGTTTTATTCTTACAAACCAGGGATTTTGAATTCGGGGACTTAATTACGCTAGAGCTAGTGTAACGCCCTTTCGGTACCTTTTCTTTCCATGAAAAATGTTTGAGTAGGCAATCTGGATCCATTTCATTACCTATTCACTAACATGTAAGGTGACCATGCGGGTGCGCGATCCATCAATTTAACACCTATAAAGTAGTAAATAAATTACTAGTTTAGGAGAACAACACACCTTTTAGCAACGTAAGTATCTGCAATGTTAGCTAGAAAATCATACAAACAACCCTAATATGATTTCTAATTAACAAGCAATTCACTCAATGTATTTTTTTGGTTTTCTCTTTATTAAAATGAAAACTAACCTAAGTGCAATGACGTGCAAAATATGACATGCGATTAATTAAACCTAGCATGCCAACTACATGTCATGCGACGATATGACCCACTTCTAATGACGGGCGAATAATGTATTTTTTTTGGTATTTTCACTAAAATTCGGAATAATAAAAAAATGCCTAAAATAACGTGCAATCTATTCTAGAAAGACACTCTAACTTATCCTAAAATGACTTCTTTTTGGGTATTTTTATGAAAATTCGAAATTCTAGAATGCCCTAAATAATCTATTAGGAATAGAATGACCCCTAATTCAAACTAGGAAATAAACAACCTTAAATCCCAATTTAAATTAAGCAATTATCCTTTCTTCTAGATATATTCAGGATTCCCTAAACATGGAAAATTTCTAATTTAAATTCTAACTAATATTTTTGGATTTTCTTTTTTTTAAAGGGGAAATAAATTAAACAAAGATAGCAATCCCACACCAACCAGCCACGCGATTCGCAAAATCCATTTATCATGTTCAAAGTAGGAAAACGACTTAGGCTAGCGATCATATCCACAGGGTTGTGGATATCGATGGAAAGCCGACCATTTAAATTTGGAAAGCGAATAAGATATGTTATCATATCCAAGTGATTATGGATAAGATAACAATCTTTCCATACCGCCGCGTATTGTACCTTAGGATTAAGGTTAGATAGTCATCTGGATACATTGCTAAATCAGGAAAAACTCCTAATTTGGGGTATTTTAAATATTACGGATATCACACACATTATCTCTAAGATATCTAACAATCCACCAAAGATATCATGAAATATTCAAACACCGAAAGAAATAAGAAATTAAATATTCTAAGAATATCGGATGAGAATCTTACCTAATTTCGTGGATAATTTCCAAGTTTGAATCGTGGATCGCGGGACGGGACGGGGTGGCCAACGGTGGGCGCGGCCTGGCAACGGCAATGGTAGTGACTTGACGAGGAACGACTCGGCTCGCGGTGGTGCTCGCAGGTCTAGGTGGGCACAGCCACGGAAGCGCCTAACGGCAGGACACTCGTGGTGGTGGTGAAGTGCACTTGGATTATTCAATGAAGCACTTGGATTGCTGGAAGGATGCGGTGCTGATATGGGACACGCGGCCAAGGACTGCCAAGTGCTCAATTCTCCAAAAGTCCTACAAGAAGAAATCCACACGTAATGGAGTTGCCGAGTGGCTGTGATGCTCGGGTGTGTTTGCGCAAGAATTTGTTCAGATTCGTCAGTGGAGCTCGTTGTACTCAATCAACACAAGCTGCTTCGGTGTCAATGCGAGAGCAAGGGGATGCTCTAGATATGACTAAGTATGCTGTGGGCAACCGTCATGTGTCTTCGAAAGCGACTCAAGGACAGGCGGTGGTGTTGGGAACGGCAGCGAAACTCGACAGACGGCACAAGGTCACAACTGAGAAGGAGGATGCTCAGTCGCGACTCTCCCTTCTCAAGCTCTCTCTCTTTTCTCTCAATGGTGGCCG